GAGCCATTGGGAAACCTCCGATTCTACACCGGGCAAATCAATCTAGCATACGATAAGGGCAGTGTTTGTGTGATCAGAGATGTGGCTTAGAAACAAGAAAAACAAACGTCGAAAAATGCAGACGTCACCTGTCAAAAACGCATACTTCTGATAACATCCTGAAATCACAGCAGGCGCTGGAACCATGAATCGGACATATGTATTCGTTCATCTGAGTTAGTAGAATATACTTTCACATATGTATGAGTTCAGATTGTGTCCTGAACAGATCATGGTATAATAATCTTTATAAAAATGGAAAAAGTCTATGATTGCTCGAGAGCGCAATACTGTTAGGCTATCCAAGCCAAAGTAGGTGAATTTTCTCCAGTTCACAACCGGAGCCTTCGACATTTGCCAAAGCGTGACTCGCAAAACAGCGGAACGGTGTATGAAAACCGCATTCCATTGGGGGCCGGTGTCCAGTTCATCCGATCATACACCATTTGGATGCGGTAACCATTACCACGACCAGGAAGGTGTGGGTGCTTGTGGTTCGTACACCTCTTCTTGGTTGGTTTGGAATAAGGGTTTTTAGACAAATGTACTAGGTGAACTGCTAGTGGTTCATCGATCCCGTTACAGCCCCGGATTATGGCTTTTCGTCTTCTCACTTTGGTGGAAAAAACACCACTGATATGGAAAGGCAGTGGGTAGGACTTCCTCAGCAGAGGCTGTTTGAAACGCTTGATCGTATAGGAGCGTTTCGCGAGGAGTAAGGGAAGGGTAACCAGCCGCAAGCCGGAAAACCCACCCCCGATCATACTGAGTTTTTCGAAGTTAGTAGTATCGCTGATATGGTATCCGTTTTTTCGAGATTATGTTGAATGTTGTTGTAGTTTGGCTACAAACAGCCAATCGTAACCTTCGGATAGAAATACACAATCACACATGGCAAAAAAGTAACATACCAGCTCGTTTTTGAGGATTTTGCCATTAGCTAATACAGATCAAAATTTACATCACAACATTGAGCGCGGAAAAATTCACTGCATAATAAGAAAAAAAAATGAAATTTAGTTTACAGTTTCACGATTGGATGTTGCGCACACTATCTAGACCTGTATACACTGTGAATTTGCACTTTGTTCGGAAGTCACACCGACGACGTTTTCCAGGAAGCCTGCAAAACATTTGCAAACATTTCCATTTCAGAGAGCCCACTGACACAAGCGCCCATTCACTGGTTGAGAACAGGGGTGTATTTGGACATCAGTTTGTTCGTCAGTAATCGTTGACGAAAAACCTGACCATGAGGCGAAAATGATGTGATGGCTATCGAATTCGGAGAGCCGCACCCGTTCTTATTTGTTCGAGGAATAATCCCACAGAGCTGAATCTTTCACCTTAGGCATTGCGAAGATGCTGATACAAACAACCGATCAGCCTTTATTACTGTTTGCGCTTGCAGTCGACTGAAACGTTTGCTGCGCATAACAAGATTGAATGTTTGGACGATGCAGTCGGTCTATCACCGCACCCACGCATTTACGTTTCGGGACTTACTCTACGGTGCAAGGTTGATCCGCCTCAGTGAACCCGATGTTCGCACTGATTGGGCCGCTGATCCCCGGTTTGATAGCATGCTGTTTTAAAGTAACACGTGCGCCAGTGTTGGCTTGGGTGCATAGGCAATGAGACCCTACTTGCTTATCGGTTTGCAGACTGGCTGCATGTAGGTGCATGCATTGCAGATAGATGGACAGTTTCATTCACTGGGTATTTATTTGTTCATTTGCTTAAACGGGACACAACAGTCACTAAATCAAGCAGTCAGTGGCATATTACGTGACACTCAGTTCAGAGTACAGCGCTAGTCGCCAGATAGATAAGAAGCCGTTACGTCCGACTTCAAAGCTAAAGACCAGATTAGTGAAACATCATGGGCCAAACAAATTGGCGAATATGTTATAAAGTATGACGTAACACAAGAAACGAATTTACGTCGGAAATCCAGCACATGCGGACAGACTTCAGAAAACAATTGAAATCTTTCTTGTGTTTCAGGTTATTAGCTGACTAAAGTGGATTCAAGCGCATATGTTTCCCGAAGTAAGCGAAAGGATTCGAGTTCTCTTCTACAGCGAGCCGAGGAGGTCGTCATTGGTGAGCCTTAGATTTAAGCTCTACGAAGGACATTGAACTTTGCTGTCACTCGGCTAAAAACCTTGTCCATTTTTAGCGAGACCGTCTGTAGCTGATCCCAGGGTTTATATCACTGTTTCCCAGATCCGAAAACATCCTCATGACTATGGGGTTACTCCTTTTTTATTTATTACACACTTGCGTGTGTAGAACAGCAGTGGGGGAAATTCCCATGGTCGCGAGGACCTGCTGTTCAGTGATGGAAACCGGTAACCTAAGCCCCGGAACTTGGAGTGACGAACCACATNCAGGTGTGGTATTGGATCGGACGACAGCACAGCACCACCAAAGTTGGGTGGTGGTGGCTAGGCTTGAACCTCGGACCACAAGGTCCAAAGCACGCCTGTGACAGCGACTAAATGACTGCGCCACCACCGCCCTTATCATCACGAAACGGCGAGTAACAGAAAAGGCAGTCCACATATAATTGTTTTTTTTTATAAAAAGGACTCAAACAGGATAGTACAAGCAGTCCGTCACTGAAAATAGTGCTCGAAGGGAAGCGAGAAAACAAACGAATCCGAGGACTATTTACCTTATTCAATACGCACACGATAGGTTTTTCCAGCAGATATCCACCGGACCACCGTTCGAGCAAATGCATGAGTAAATAGGCACAGGCTAGTGGACTACGCCAAGCACTGTACTGGTCCCGACGAAAACCCAATACATCAAGCACCATGAGTAAACACGAGCTGCGTTCGACGTGTTTCAAGAAATTTGTGTGTCGTAGTCGGGGCAGAGCAGCGTCAGGAGAACATAACGGCGCTGCCTGATTCACTGGTTCCGAGTCTGTCGGGTCCAATTGTTCGCGTTCTGATCGATCCGGATAACGCGCATAAATGTCCGCCAAACCTGAGATACGAATGCAAAGACCNCAAAGACCAAGCGCGGCATACTGACCCAATGTGCCAAACAGAAACTGTGACATGTGCACGGGGTAAAAACACACACCGACGATCCCGTTCTGAGTTCAAGAGTGTGAATGAGAAAGAAAACTCGACTAAAGTTTCAAACTTTAATGGTGATATGACACTGACCACTGCTTGTACATTTCGAGATGTACTTGATAATCGATATGGTTTTTGTAGCCTTATGTCTTTTCCGTGACTGGGTGGCGTTATAATGCCCGCTTCGGTTACTTTGATTGTGAAGGTTGAGAAGGCCATCATTCAAGATAGTTCTAGGTTTATCTCCATACACACACGCACACCATCATCTTGTCGCACTCCTGAAAGGCCAAGATACAATGCCATCAAGTAGCGTAGTTCATAGGCCTTGGGAAAAGGCTACGATATGTTCCATTCCAAAATATGGGAACTCTACCGAGATCAACAGCCATTGCACCATTTTCCTACCTTTGATCACCTTTAAAATAATGATAGTCATTAGCTCTGATCAAATTGGTCTACACGCCGAACGCGAGGGAATCTTGAGCGATCGCCACTACTACTTTCGATTACTTTGTTCCATCAGCGATCCGCTAGTCTTGGTCTTTGACTACGGTAGCCTCATTCGATAACCACGAGGAACCCCACATGGTACAGTTTTGT